TCCCCTTTTTTCTCATTTTTTAGAGTTGCACTAAATTTTGGAGTAAAGTACCCGTCGAGTTTGAGTGTCTATCACGCAGATTTTTTCCCTTTTTTTCAGCTATCTCGTCGGGGCCTCATTTTGCTCGCGGCGCCCAGCGCTGGGACCTGCCGGGGACCGCAGCCCTGTAATAAGGTCCTAACTGTGTAGTGTTCGGATCGCCACGCCACGCCAACGCTGCGGCGCCTCGGAACGACTTTTACCGCACGATGGAATTAGCGGCAATCAGGCACCCAAAACGTGTCCATCCCGCGGCCGCGTTCGGAAACGCCCCGCTGCTGCCCCTGCTGGCAAACCGCGACCACCGGAAAGGCGCCTCCGGACGCGACCCTTTCGCGCCGGCCACAAGCCGCTGAAAATAATGGGAAGGAATAAGGGGGGATGGAGAGGGGGAGTGGGACCTTCGCAGGTTGCCTACCCTGCGCGTGCGTCACGCCCGGGTACCACTCCCACTGCGGCGCAGAGGGTACTTCGCAACCGCAAACGTTTAAAACAAAAGGGACAAAACAAACAAACGAAAATCAGCGACACCGACTTGTCACGAAGTTGTCGTGAATAATGAGCTGTTGGAACGGGCGCCGTGGGAAAGGGGCCTCTCCGCTCATGAACCCCTCATGACAATGGACCCCCGGTGTAAACTCATTCCCGGCTGACCCAAACGAGTTAAAGGCTCATAAGAGGCGTACTTATCGCCCAAAGAGTTACTTAGTTTTATGGCCCTCTTTTTTTTTGTGTGTGTGAAGTGCGCCCTCGACGAGTTGTTGTCTTTGAATTATTGGCTAACTGGGTTTTTTTCTCCCCAAAGTCAGTTTGTTATAATTTTTCTTTCCAGGAATAACAAAAAATAAAAAATTGCAGCACAACTGTGGCATTAGCTTTTCTTGCCGAGCCACGGGCACCAACGTCAATTGCTCTATTAACCTGTCAGCAGTGCCTTCCTGTGCGTGTCCAAGGTGTAATCCTTCCCATTCGATTTGTGTTGAATTACCTTTTTTCTTTTACACTTCCAAGCCTCGCTTGTTTGCACTAGCGCAATGTCTCCTCTCGCAAATGATTGCCTGTCAATATACCCACAGAGTAATGTGTGTGTAAGGTGTGGTGCAAGCAAAAGTGTATGCAGTGCCACTCTACATGTCCAATGTGATTCGCAATAATGTGACCCATCGCATCATTTTTCAAACACATCAAAATTGCTCTGAAAATTTGATCTCTACAAAAGTCGAGGCAAAAGTAGAAAATAAAACTGACATTGTTTCGGTTTCGCTGCACAAAATCACTACCCGAGATTAACAGAGTCCAGTAGCTGCTGGTTAGGTCCCGCCGTGATGCTGCTACGGACTAGAATTATGACAGCTCCTCTTCTCACACGGGGCGCGCGAGGGACGCTTCACGCCGGACGAGTGAAAAACGGGGCGGCGGCGGGCGGCGCCTCGGCCGGGGCGTGGCGTGGCGCGCGGGGAGCGCGTGAGGTGGCCGTCGATCGTCCTGTGGGCCCCGGTGGTGGTGGTGCGCGGACCCAACGGCCTGGGGGGAGGGGGGGGGGACCTAGCAGGCGGTTAATAACAGTGATCAGGTCCCGTGGCGTGTTTGCGCAGCAGCGAGCCAGGCCCGCGGGCCGCGGGGAGGCAGGCCGCCGCCGCCCCGCCAGAAACAGTCTCTATCTTCTCCTCTCTCTATCCTCTCGGCGCGTTCGTCTCTATCCCGACGGCGCGGCGGGCCCAGCCTAAATCATCGGCGTTATATTGCTGATTTTGAAGCCGCGCCGCTGCTGCTGCTGCCTAGGCGTGTTTGCTTTGGGTGAGCAGCAGCAGGCTAGATGATGAGACGAGGTGAGAGGAAAAGAAGGATATAATGGGTGGAGCTAAGCTAAGAGTATACCCGACTATGTCCTTTCCAAAAAATGGCCGACGCGGAGGTTTTACGCTCCGTATTTTACAGGCGAGGAGTCCCTTCATCCGGGAGAGTTGTAACCCTTCTCCGTGGCGCCTGCAGACCACTCAAGGGTTTTATGGCAGCCAAAGTATCTCAACGGCTGCTGCTGCGGAGGCACAGATTTACAGCTGTGTAAGGCAAGGCCTTCCCTCTCAACTCGCAAAAATGCGATTTGTGTTGTTTTTCTTTTAATTTTGTTTTACTTTCATCATTTTTATTTTAAAGTTTTATGCATTTGAAAAAATGTGCAAAATTCGTCTATTTGTGGTACGGATGAACAATTAAGAGGCGACAGAAAAATAACGGGGATCGACAGGAAAGGTGAGTAAAAAGTATTTGCATAAGCAAAAGCAATCTGGCTATGTGCGACGTGCATGTTTACCTATTCAATCGACAGCGTGTATGTATGTGTGCATGCGTGTCTGTGTGTTACAGAGCTCTCGCTCGGAGCGTGAAAATTGGTACTTGGTAGGCTGATTGAGCTGCTGACGGGTATCCAGGTAGTAATTGGTGAGCTGCAGTGAATGGGAGGGGGACGCTGCTACAAGGAGACGGAGTACCTCATCATTCAGGGGCAACAAGTTGTTCCACTTTTTCTTTCACTCTTTTCCTTCTACCAGATTTTTTCCCGTTTTGGTTTGCTGCCTCTATTTACGCCGTTTTGTTGCTCGTTGTGTGTTCGCTTACGGTGGTGCGTGTGGTCTTGTGTGTGATCCCTCAACGTCTTACCCGGTCTTACCCGGTCATACCCGCCCCGGCAAGAATCGTGAAGATAAACTCGTGGCCAGAATATAGATGGTAAATAATATATCTTCTCACCAGACTTAAAAGAAAACAATCTGCGCCCATGCGAAAATGTGACCTGCTTACTATAGATATCAACTAGCAGAGAAGCCCAATCACGTAAATTAAATAAAAAATGCAGTTCCTTTTCAAACGGAAAGAAAGCAAATTGATAACGCAATCAGATGACTCACTAATAAGCGGGTTGGCACCCAGCTGGTCAATTTTGAAACGCTGGCGGAAACCGTTAAAAAATATAAAAAAAGTTACCCAGCGCATACACAAGCGCGCGCGCGGGAGCGAGCATGCACACACAAATATAAATCAGATCAAGGTCTGTTTACTCTTTTTTTCTCCCTCTTTTTTTTTACCCATGCGCAGGGCCCCACGGTGGCGTGACGCGTTCATTCAACACCCCGGACAGGACGGGTATTAAGGCAGGGCAGGTGGTCAGTGGCGCAGCCCAAGGCGCAGCCCGCGAGGCACTTCTCTCTCGCACCCATCGCTCCCGTTCACTTATCTTTCCCTCCTTCCCTCTCTCTCTCTCCTGCATCACATTGGCTACGCCACTGGGCGTGGCCGCAACCACTCCCCAAAAGCGCGCAGGAGCGCGATCATCGCGAGGCGAGGAGGAGGGCGATCAGGCGAGAAAACCAACACTTGGATCAGACGCGGAGCGGCGTGGCGTGGCGAGGCCTGAGGCGGGCTGCGGGCCGCGCCCTGCTGGCACGTCAGGTGATTCACATAAACGGCAGAGGGAAAAGGAGTGGGGTAGGGGGGCTTACCTTGATGGTCTCCTCGAGGGGCACCAGCTTGCCGGCCTGCCCCGTGAACACCTCGGCCACCTGGAAGGGCTGCGACAGGAAGCGCTGCACCTTGCGGGCCCGGGCCACCGTCTGCTTGTCCTCCTCCGAGAGCTCGTCCATGCCCAGGATGGCGATGATGTCCTGCAGCGACTTGTAGTCCTGCGGGAGGGAGAGCGGCGTTAGGTTTGTTTGACCTGCAGCGAGAGGCCAGCGCCGGCGGCGGCTCACTCGATCTCACCTGCAGGATCTTCTGCACGCCGCGGGCCGTCCGGTAGTGGTCCTCGCCTACTACGGCGGGGTCCATGCAACGCGAGGTGGAGTCCAGCGGGTCCACGGCGGGGTAGATGCCCAGCTCGGCGATGCCGCGGGACAGCACCGTCGTCGCGTCCAGGTGCGCGAACGTGGTGGCGGGCGCCGGGTCCGTCAGGTCGTCCGCGGGGACGTACACAGCCTGCCAGGGGGCGGGCGAGCGTGAGGGTGGCGGAGCGCCCGCGGGGGTAGGCAACCCATTCGACACCAGAGTGCGGCGGGCGGGCGGACCTGCACGGAGGTGATGGAGCCCTTCTTGGTGGTGGTGATCCTCTCCTGCATGTCCCCCATCTCCGTGGACAGCGTCGGCTGGTAGCCCACGGCCGACGGGATCCTGCCCAGCAGCGCCGACACCTCCGAGCCGGCCTGGGTGAAGCGGAAGATGTTGTCGATGAAGAGGAGCACGTCCTGGCTCTCCTCGTCCCGGAAGTGCTCCGCGACGGTGAGCCCGGTGAGGGCGACCCGCGCGCGCGCCCCGGGTGGCTCGTTCATCTGGCCGTACACCAGCGCCACCTGGGGAAGAGAGGGGGGGCGTAAGTGGCGACTTGGAGGCCGCGGAAACGGACAGGTGAACGACACACCGAAGCAGCCATCCATACTTTGGAGGACTTGTCTTTGAGGGAGATGACGCCGCCCTCGATCATCTCGTGGTAGAGGTCGTTGCCCTCCCGGGTGCGCTCCCCGACCCCGGCGAACACCGAGTAGCCGCCGTGTGCGCGCGCCACGTTGTTGATGAGCTCCATGATGAGCACGGTCTTCCCCACGCCCGCGCCGCCGAACAGGCCTGTTTGGCGGGGGATCGTCGTCAGGCGCGCCCTGGGCTCACCCGATGGTATATGACAGTCAGGTGGACGCACAGTGCAGGTACTCACCAATCTTGCCGCCTTTGGCGTAAGGCGCCAGCAGGTCCACCACCTTGATGCCCGTCACCAGGATCTCCTGCTCGACGCTCATCTCGGCGAACTCGGGCGCGTCGCTGTGTATCGGGGCGCGAACGTCCGTCTCGATGGGTCCCCGCTCGTCGATGGGCTCGCCTGAAAAAGAAAAATAAAGGTCATTCATTGCCTCGTCGACGCGCCGCCGTCTGCAGGGACGTTGTACAGTACTACTAGTACCAGGACTCACCGTACCTATGACGTTCATGATGCGGCCCAGGGTGGCCGTCCCCACCGGGACGCTGATGGGCTTGCCCGTGTCGACCACCTCTTGGCCGCGGCGCAGGCCCTCCGTGCCGTCCATGGCGATGGTCCGCACCGTGCCCTCACCTTAAACACAATGGGAGCATGTCCGCCGTCGGCGTGCTGTCGAGGTCCAGCGAGGGCGACGACGGCGTCCTTACCCAGGTGCTGGGCGACCTCCAGGACGAGGCGCGTCTCTCGGTCCTTCACCTCGAGCGCGCTCAGGATGCTGGGCAGGCCGTCGGCGAAGTGCACGTCCACGACGGCGCCGATGACGGCCACCACCTCGCCGCGCTGGCCGGGTTTCGCCGCAGGGGTCGTCGGGGTGCTTCCCGTCGGCCCGGGGCCATGCGAGCCCGGCGTCCCAGTCCCGCACGGGGTCCGCGGCGTGGAGGGCGCGCCCGTCGGGGGCCGCGGTGGCGCCGGCGGGGGGCTGCTGGGCTTTGGGGGCGGACAGGACGGCGGAGGGGTCGACGGCGTGGGGCAGGACGGCGTCTGCGTCCTGGCAGCGCCCGCCAGAGGTTTTCCCGCTGACCTGCCTGCAAGTGAAACAGAGCTGAGCTGCCCATTGACGGGGTCGTCTTTCTAACCCCATTAATGCCCGTGACCGGGGGACTTACCACTGCTGCTGCGCCTGCTCGCCGCGGCGCCCATGGACGTCGTGCGACAAGCCTTCAAAAGTGCCATACCAGCCGAGCGTACTCCGGCCATAATCTCTCACTTGACAGTATAAAAGACTGTCACTCAAATTAGGAGTATAGGCTATTGGCGACCAAGCCTGACTGTATTTCGTAAACAACAAATTAGGCTTCTAGATGAGGATCGCGCCGGCGGAAACAAAGTTTATTTTTCTATGCAACTTGATTATTCCCACCGTTAAAATAAAAATACATGTATAATACAATAAATAATTTGATGTATTCAGTATCGTCAATAATTACACACACGACGTTCTTTCCAGTTTGTGTGGTGGCTAAACTGATGTTGAAACACAACGCTGGAAACAAACGACAACTTGTTGGTTGCACACCCTTATCCTTCCGAAACGTTCTTGTTTTTTACCTGCAAATTGATTAACATGGCGGTGCTGAGCAATGGTGGTGCCGCTCTAGCGTGATAGGACCAGGACGCAACCACCGTTGTGCCCAAAGTGAGCGTCGTCACTTGTCGTCACTCGGACGCTACTTCGCGATCGTGTCGCGGCATCATGAGGGAGCTGAAGCAGGAGGTTCGTACTCGTTTATTTGTGCAGATTCAACGCAAACAATTGTTCTGCTTATGGCAGAAGACATGCCATTCAAAACAAATAACAATATATGCCCTTCCGTTTACTTACGCCCTAAATGAGTCAAGACCATGCACGGTTTTGTTCAAGTCAAGATCACTTCTTTTCTTTGACGGATTCGAAATAACGGTCGACACTTGGCTATCGCGTCCGAATATTTCTGTAGTAAGAATTCATTCTAAATGGATGGCAGAATGAATGGTAGACAGTTGTGAATGATGTATATAATTGTGAATGGCAAGTATAGTTGTGCACAATAAATGAATGGACCTCAAATAAACAAGCTCATTTGCCTACTTCATTTATTTTTCTCTCTCAAGTTTGAGACTTACAACAGGTCTGCTGATATTTGTTTTGTTTTTTCTCCATTAGCAGCCTACCGTACTGGAACTCGGACTAGATTTGGAGTTGAAATCTGAAGATGTTGATGCTGCCACTGCTGCTGTTGCTGCTGCTTCTGAGGGTCAGATTCCATGCAGTTGTTGTGATGAGCTCCTGGAAAATGCTGATCAACTTCATTCACATCAAATAGTTCAACATTCCTTATCAGAGCTGTCTCTTGCTTTGATCACATTAAGGGGGTTGGACCTCTCGTTAATAGTATGTACCTGCTGTTAGCCGTCATATTGCACTTACTGTACCCTGACATCAAAGTGGCCACATTGTGGTCACGCTTTGCTGGAAAAATCCTTGCTGTGCAATTTGTCGTGTCATTAACTACCTTTCATTACACATTAATTTAATGCCTGTTTGGTTCTGTTTAATTTGTGCATTCAGAATAGTGCATTTGAAGTCAATGGTTCGTTAGAGGAAGAAGACTCGTCACAGATGCGCAACATACTTTTAGAATCTGTTAATCGTCCCAATGATTCTGATAGTGAATCCACAGTGACTGTGAACTCTGAAGCAAGATTGGCTATGGTCTCACCCGTAAGTTCTGTTGAAAACTTATTTCGAAAGTCTAATTTCATTTTGGCTGTCAATATCAAAATTATGTTGGTCTAAGCTGGCCATGGTAACTATTCGATCAAGTTTATAACTTACATTGGTCTATCCTGTTTTCAGCCAAGCTCTCCTGTATTTTCCACTTCAGATGAACCAAATCCTGCAAGTATGTTGATGTGGGGAAATGCAACTGTTTCTCCAGACTATTCTACCCCCTATATCAATAACAATGACACTACTATTGGAAACCAAGATTTCCAGAGCTCAAATGACTCAGGAGTCAGCTGGTCTGAAGAAAAACCATTAAAACCAATTATAAAACGATCTGTGGCAGTAGGTCGGTTCCATTCTGTTTCCTATATACACTGTAATTTGGTATGTGTGCATAGATATGATAAAATTTGGCGTTGTAGGTCAAAAGAAAACTGCCAAGGGTGTGAAAGATCAAGGCTCTCGACAATTTTTCTGTCATCTTTGTGATCGAAGATACAAAAAAAAGTCTCATTTGGAGAGGCATTTTCGTGTTCACACAGGTGTGAGACCATATGGTTGCCCTATGTGTGAAAAACGTTTCGCTGTGAGATCCATTCTCAAACAGCATATAAGAGTACATACAGGAGAGAGACCATTTGCATGCAACATTTGCTCTCAAAGGTATGTTAAATTTCATTACTAATCTTCTGGGCCTAGGCTTTTTGCTAAGCAAATTGCAATAATTTGTTGTCATATTTTCTTTCTTTTCTTTAAAGGTTTCCCCAGAAATCAGGCTTGATGACTCACATGATGCTGCACAATGGAAAACCTTTCAAATGTGAATACTGCGTGAAATCTTTTGTTTCAAACCACAAATTAATGCTCCACCAGCGGTCTCATGGTGATTTGGTAAATGGTGCGCCCCATCAGGGTCCATACTGCTGTTCTACTTGTGACTTGCGTTTCTTCACCACAGGAGCTCTTTCTGAACATACTAAAATCCATTCTCAGCCTAAAGTTAAACAGTCTAAAAGGAGTGTTGACAGACTTGACGAAGTCACAATTACAGAAGCAGCAGCCCGTGCAGCAGTAACGGCCATTGATGGCCTTACTGATGATGCTCTAGACATGCCAACCGACTCTCCTCAATTTATTTTACCTCATTTCCATGATGACTCCTCAATAAATGATCCAGACAATTTCATTCATGATGTTAAAAATGAAATATTTGAGGATGATGATGTCAGTGGCTCTGAATCATTTTTTTGTGAAGCTAGGTGGGGAGGATTTGAAGATATGTGTATAAGCTCAGACTTTAGCAATGTGTGTTAATATCAATCACGGTTGTTATTCCTTGTGTACAAAAACATTTACCAAACAAATTTCTCTGTTTATGTACCATAAGACACAGACTCAATATGCTAGTAAATGAAATTATTCTAATCATTTTATAATAACATGTCCT